ATAACTATACCAAGTAGTTCTGTAAACATAAACATAAACATAAACAAGCCAGTCCTAAACAATAATGTAGACGAAACCCGATCAGGTTTGGATGATCAACAAAACTTGTTCCGAACTTGAATGAATCTTTATTATTCAACCGGCAGACATACATTTCAGTCTGAATTTGGTGAAATTACAAAATACAGCTCCAGATACTTTTTACTTTGCATACAAAGCTATAAGAGCAATCAATTATATATGTTAGAATTCACTTAAGTTTGTAGTAAAAATGTTAGCATTGCTAGTTTATGCGAGCATCAACTTTCTTTGTAGCCAACATCCTGAACTTAATAAGCTTACCCGAAAAAACGTTGACATGCTCTTTGTTTCTTGGACTTTCACGCACTTTTTCTATCCCTAGTTTAACCAGTATAAAACACATAAATGTGAATCGGCTCTGAGAACTGTATGGTTTTTCTTACTCATCCCAATTTCAGTGGCTAGTTTCGAAGTTATAACAGATTTGAGCATCTCCTTCATTTGGAATGGAAGGTCCTATATTAAAAACCGTAATAAAAATCATTGCGGTTTGACTTTCTTCTGTGCTTTTGAAAAAAATTCAGCCTATGACAATTTTATTGCTATCCTTTTTTAGTATCGTATAATGAAGGCGACATCTTTGATATTATGGTGATAATCTTCGCATTTAAGTCCCTTTTTTACCTCAAAGAAATAAGAGTTAAGTTGATAAATATTCGGAGATCTTATGAATCTTTACTTCTTAAGTTATGTTGGGTACCTGAACTTAATTTGTCACTTTTTTATCATACGGTGTATACCGCAAATGTAGGATGCCTTCTCTCCAAAGCAAAGACTTATTTTTGCGAGTTTAAGGGGATTTGTATCGGGATTTTTGTATTGGATTTTAAAGCCAGCCCAGCGTAAAAAAAGATACCAGTGCGAAAAAGCCCTATTGAAAAACGTCTAAAAAGACAGACACCAAAATACGCCGAAGCATATATATAAAACCTTTGCTACGAGAGTACAGAATCCCCCGCAGAAGCGACCTGTAGTTGTTGATCTCAACTTGACTCTTCCTTTAAGACATTAAGACAAGGGAAAGGCTACAAGGAGGCCGTCTCTGTTGCCCTCAACTAATCTCCAAGCAGATCTTTTGGTGGGGGTAAGACAGTATCAAATTTGCCAGTCTGTAACCATTTCCCCACCCAAATGGTTACAGACTGGCCAATTTGATACCCCCACCAAAAGATCTGCTTTTAGATTAGCCCTCAACCGTACAAAAAAGACCGATGAAAATGCCTAAACTTAAACCTCTGCTTGGGGCACAGAATCACCGGCAGAAGCGACCTGTAGTTAAGTTAAGACATGGGAAAGGGTAGAAGGAGGCCGTCTCTGTTGCCCTCAATCCGTACAAAAAAGACCGATGAAAATGCCTAAACTTAAACCTCTGTTAGGAGCCTTGGGGCACCCCCGGCAGAAGCGACCTGTAGTTAAGTTAAGACATGGGAAAGGGTAGGAGGAGGCCGTCTCTGTTGACCTCTACTTGACTCCTTCCACGGCCAGGAGTAAACGGGGGGCGTCCGGGGTCCGGGGTCGGGCGTGTCACGCGTTTTCACACCTGAGGAAATCCGGGTAATCGTTTCTAGGACGGGAGGGCCTAGCTGTGCATGTGCGCGGATCCCGGCGTGGTCCTGATGTACCGTGTAATGCACTGCACGTGTGGCGGGGATCGGGCCGAGTTCGGGTAATCTTCAAGCAGATCTTACGGTGGCTGCAAACGACAGTAACAAATGGGCAGGGCAGTATCCAGATCCATTGAGCTAAAAAAAAAAAAAGATACAATTACAAAAATCGAAACCTGAACCTCTGCTTGGAGAGTAGTCTTTCAGACACACAGCAAAGATCCCTTTAGGCTGAGGTAACATCCAAGCACAAAAAAAGGTGAAAATATTAACAATGGGAACTATCGATATCTGCTTATATTCATGATATAAATTGTTGATTTTTCGCTATTCCAAACAGCCCGGCCGGGCCCCGGTTTGAAAATGTGACCTCAGCGGCTACCATATTTTATAGAAAGAAATAAAATAAAATAAAAGGCGTCAGCAAAATAAAAATTGTTCGAGAAGTGACGATAGGTATATACGCACATCTATGAGCGCATCGTTTTTCGGTCAAATAAAAACGCAAGGACTTTGATCGCCAAACAGATCTTTTGATGGATGCAAGACAGTATCAAATTGGCAAGACAGCGTCATTGTCAACAGAAAAAAAAAAGAAACCTCGATAAAAAAAGCAAGGAGGTTTAATGATTTCAATGATGGTGGGGTCGTGTGGCGTAGCGGCAGAGTGCGCGACTCGGAACCAAGAGTCCCGAGTTCGAGTCCCACCGATCTTGTGCCCTTGGCCATGGGACAAGTCTTCAACTTTGTCTTTGCAGGCAGGACACATTCTTTTCTCGGCTGTAAGCGGAAGTTTAGCCTCTGCTTGGAGAGTACAGGGATGTCAGTTTATAATTGGTTTCTCGGTTACATAAATCTCTCTCGCAATTACAATATCTACGTAAACATGCCCCTTGTGGCGATTTGATAATAATTCATTGATTTGTTAATTGGGTGTTTGATTTAGCTCATCAAAAACCTATTATCGCCGAGGGCCCATGTGTGCCGACCCCAGGGGAGGATTGTTCACGGTTTTTATCCCCAGAAATTTTGGTCGGCACAAGCTTATGGGGGCAACTTCCTCTTGGATACTATTCTCTAGCCTCTACCAGGCTTCGGAAGGCGGCTGGAAAGAGTAGAAATCGGTCAAATAGAGAGGCAGCAAACTGTACTCTCCAGCGGACCAACTCCCCTGGCATGTTATCTCTCTATTTGGCCGATTTCTACTCTTTCCAGCTGCCCCCCCCCCC